GCGGGAGCTTTGGAGAGTGCAAAGGAAAAATGCAGAAATAGAGATAAGACGGGGAAGAAGCAGAGCTGAGCTATGCTTGGAATTGAATTTAAACAAATTATTTATTCGCCTCCAAATATACCACAGCACACGCGAAGCGATACGGTTTAAGTTAAAACTTCTCAAAAGATTCTCAATAAATTCGATTCACAAGCAAGTAAACACCGGTTTACCAATATTTATAAACGCAATATTTACATAAGTATAAGGAAAATATGTTTATGCCCTGGAACACCAGCTGCCACCTGTTACTTTCATCTTATGGAACTTAGGGTAGTTGAGTTATTTCATTATTTATTTATTTTTTATGTGGATCTGAATAATCAATATATCTTAAATAACATACATATATAAAAATCGTTCTTCTGAAAAAGATCGAATGCTGTAATTTGGTGGCAAGCTTGTGGCTTTTTCGAATGCTCCCCAATACCATTTTCACCCCTTCCAAAATGGCAGCGGATCCCATTTTCTCTATGCCACTTGATGCCTACAAAAATTAAGTTAATTTCATTTATATATTAGTAGGAAATTATTGTATTACCGTTCGCAAATAAACAATTTGCAAAGGTCCATTGAAGTTGGAAACTGCAATTGAAAATATCTTCCAACTTTGGATGTTACTTGGAGCATTCTGCAAAAATATATTAATTAGTATATGTACATATATATACATATATATAAATTTTTTATACTTACATTGACTTTTTTCAAGTGAAACTCATCGAAGAGTACAAAAAATGGCTCGTCTTCCTCAATAATCGCCCTCAGATTTCCCTGAATATTGACGAATCCGTTCTTGAGTGATTCCTTTCGATTTTTCAACCATATCTTTGCGATATCAGATAGGTTTTCTTCAATAACGTTTAAGTTTGCAACGAACTCCATTTTTCTAAACTTTTTCACAAAGTAAACAAGGCGGAAAAACATAGGGTTGCCAATGTATTAACGATACTATCATATGTCCATACATACGATACTATCGTATGTCTTTCAAACGCACAAAAATAAAGAAATACAATAACAAATGTTTCTAATCGCTTAAACATCTTATGATTTTGCTTATTGTTTACAAGAGATTAAATAAACAATAAGCAAAATTCTCCTGTAAAATTGGATTTTTGGAAAATTGGAAAATTTTCAATTCAACCATCGATGTTAAACCAAAATATCGATGTTTATATCGATGTTGGGTTTTTTTTTCAAACATCGATACATCGGTAAAACTTCGAAGGATCGGTCTCTAAATTGAAGCAATATAAATAAAAGTCATAATTTTATTTGATTTCATCATTTATTATAAACAAATATGTATGTAAAATATTATAATTGCCATGTAAGTAGTTGAACGATCGGATTGGTACAGATATAAAATTTATAACGATATTATCATATGCTTGGCCAACTTTATACGATGTTTACAAGGGTGTATCAACTAAGCTTTGCTTTCTTGTTTTTCCAAATGTTTGAAAATGATTAAGTAATAAAAAAATTATGTTTTAGGTTGTAAATAAGACAGTTCTCCGGCTACGGAGAGGTCCCCGGCCACAGCCGGTGCCGGAGCCGGTGAAGGAGCCGGTGGCGAAGCCGATGGAGGAGGAGCCGTTTGTGCTGGAGCCGGTTGCGGAGGAGCCACAAATATTACGAAGGCCACGTGGCACAAAGATGCCAATAACAAAATTTGGACAACAAGCCCTCCTCCGCCCCAACATGGACATCGTAGCCCAGCTTGGCACCAATTTCTTCCAGGTAATTGGAGTTCAACATAGTCAATTTGAACATCCTATTTGGGAATGTATTGAACAAATTCCCAAATAGGGACTGAAGGGTAAGCCGCTGAAAGTAATGAAAATAATAAATAAAATGTTTGTTTCATTAATTTCTCCTCCACCAACCGTTTAGATTCCAAGAGGTATCCATTAAAATTTTCTTTAGTATACGTTGGGATTCTCTATGCCACTTGATGCCTACAATAATTAAGTTAATTTCATTTATATAATAGTAGGAAATTATTGTACTTACCGTTCACAAATAAACAATTTGCAAAGGTCCATCGAAATTAGAAACTCCAATTGAAAATATTTTCCAATTTTGGATGTCATTTGAAGCATTCTGTAAAAATTTATTAATTAGTATATATGTACATATATATATATGTAAATTTTTATACTTACATTGACTTTTTATACCCTTGCAGAGGGTATTATAATTTTGGTCAAAAGTGTGCAACGCAGTGAAGGAGACATCTCCGACCCTATAAAGTATATATATTCTTGATCAGGATCACCTCCTGAGTTGATATGAGCATGTCCGTCTGTCCGTCTGTCCGTCTGTTTCTACGCGAACTAGTCTCTCAGTTTTAAAGCTATCGACTTCAAACTTTGCACACACCCTTCTTTCCTTTGCACGCAGTATATAAGTCGGAACGGCTCGGATCGGCCGACTATATCCTATAGCTGCCATATAACTGATTGATCGGAAATGGTATAACTTCGGTGTTTTTAAAGTTAGAGAGTTCAAATTTTACACGAGCGCTATTTTTGGCAAAATAATACGACATGCTAAATTTCGTAAGGATCGGCCGACTATATCCTATAGCTGCCGTATAACTGAACGATCGAAAATTACCCAACTTTCGTGTTTTTGAAGATAGAAAGCTGAAATTTGGTACAGATTGTATTTTTGATCAGTTGATCCAACTTACCAAATTTCATTAGGATCGGCCGACTATATCCCATAGCTGCCATATAACTGAACGATCGGATATGGTTTTTGGTAGAAATGCCAACTTTGGTATTTTTGAAGATAGAAGTTTGGGACTTGTTTTAAATTTTGTATTATAATAAATTGGCTTATATTATCATATTCTCATAAGGATCGGCCAACTATATCCGATGTTTGCGATATATATCCGGTCTTAACTGCAAGGGTATATCAACTTCGGCTCCGCCCGAAGTTAGTTTTCCTTTCTTGTTTCATATGAAACTCATCAAAAAGTAAAAAAAATGGTTCGTCGAAATTGAAATTGATTAGGATTAAAGGATTCTTTGGTTTTTCTAACCATATCATAACTATATCTGATAGGTTTCCGTTAAGAACGTCCAAAGTTTTTACGTACTGCATTTTCAAAACTTTTTCACAAAAGATATCACACAAAGTATACAAATAAGTTGTTGGCGCCAATAAATATAGGGTTGGCAATGTATTAGCTTAACCAATGTAACCTAACCGTAGCAATGTATATTTATTATTTTCTATCATTCTATATTATATGTTATATTTGATTTTTACATTATTATACCCTTGCAGAGGGTATTATAATTTTGGTCAAAAGTGTGCAACGCAGTGAAGGAGACATCTCCGACCCTATAAAGTATATATATTCTTGATCAGGATCACCTCCTGAGTTGATATGAGCATGTCCGTCTGTCCGTCTGTCTGTCTGTTTCTACGCGAACTAGTCTCTCAGTTTTAAAGCTATCGTCTTGAAACTTTGCACACACCCTTCTTTCCTTTGCACGCAGTATATAAGTCGGAATGACCGGGATCGGCCGACTATTTCCTATAGCTGCCATATAACTGATTGATCGGAAATGGTATAACTTTGGTGTTTTAAGAGTTAGAGAGTTCAAATTTGACATGAGTGCTATTTTTGGCAAAACATTACGACATGCCAAATTTCATAAGGATCGGCCGACTATATCCTATAGCTTTCATATAACTGGACGATCGGAAATGACCCAACTTTCGTGTTTTTGAAGATAGAAAGCTGCAACTTGGTACAGATTATATATTTGATCAGTTGATCCGACCTACCAAATTTCATTAGGATCGGCCGACTATATCCTATAGCTGCCGTATAACTGAACGATCGAAATTAATTAATGTACTTTATCGACTTCACAGAATTACAATATTCCACATTGATGTGAGTCTCAAAAGCTTTGGACAATATTGGCGAGTATGGCACAATCCAACGATTGTCTACATCAACATTTTGTCCTCTTACCTTCACAACTACCGATCGCCCACTGTCCGCAACTGATCTTGTTCATCTTGAATTGAACAAGATTAAATAATATTTTTAAATTCAATTCATCGAAGTAACAATTTAAACATTTATCATTTTTGATTGCAGGTGCTGAAACCAACTAAAAAGTTAGTGCTATGAATTTCTATTCATACAGACTCATGATCCGTCAAGGTGAAGTAAATCATATTTTGATGTGTCAACGACTTTTTCATCAGTTTGCAGTTGATATGTATGTCAAAATTGAGACTGAACGATTGACATACATCCGTTTGAACCAACGACGGCTACGGTCAGAGGAATACATTCATCTCCGCGATGCTATAAATGCTGATGGCAATGTGAATAATTATTCACATTATTATTATTATGAGCGCTATTTTTGGCAAAATAATACGACATGCCAAATTTCATAAGGATCGGCCGACTATATCCTATAGCTGCCGTATAACTGAACGATCGAAAATTACCCAACTTTCGTGTTTTTGAAGATAGAAAGCTGAAATTTGGTACAGATTGTATTTTTGATCAGTTGATCCAACTTACCAAATTTCATTAGGATCGGCCGACTATATCCTATAGCTGCCATATAACTGAACGATCGGAAATGGTTTTTGGTAGAAATACCAACTTTGGTATTGTTAAAGATAGAAGTTTGGGACTTGTTTTAAATTTTGTACTATAATAAATTGGGTTATATAATCATATTCTCATAAGGATCGGCCAACTATATCCGATGTTTGCGATATATATCCGGTTTTAACTGCAAGGGTATATCAACTTCGGCTCCGCCCGAAGTTAGCTTTCCTTTCTTGTTTTTGAGTAAAAATAAATATTTTTATCGTAATATTTTATTCTACTTATTTATCGAATATCGATTTATTTTAAAGATATATTTTTGATATTTTTATTTGGCCACACTGAGCTGAACAAGAGAACGGAAAACAAGGAAACATGAGCGCTAAAATTTATTTCGGTGAAATTAAAAACAGTTCGGCAACCTGCACTATTTGCAGCAAAATTGTGAAAACGAGCGGCAACACGTCCAACTTGCTCTCGCACCTGAAAAATAGGCATCGAGACGCCTATTTAAAGTGTGTAAAGGTAAAGTGAATTTCCCGCGAAATATTTTTTAAGGTGACGCCTATATCCTCGTGTGTGTGTAAATTTCCCGCGAAATTCAGTGAATTGTGAAATACATTACATTAAGAGGACATAGGCGTCATTTTAAAAAATATAACAAAATGTTTTAGTATAATGCAAATGCAATTTAAATTGACTATTTTATTATGTTTTCAGAAAACTACAAAATTAGACAAACCTACAAAAATTGAGCACATGTCCAATGAGAACGCGTTTAAGAGTTCGTCTACTTCTAAAGGTAAAAATTGTTTTATCTTCATACTTTAGGTATAAAATAAAAAAACAAATTTTTTCGTTTTAGAAAAAAATGATGACATTACGGAAGCGTGTGTGTTCATGATCTGCAAGAACAATTTGCCAGTCCGAAGCGTGGAGAAAGAAGGTCTTACAAAATTGCTTAATACATGTGTCCCAAAATATAAAATTCCAAGCCGATTCAAGGTAAGTTCTTATGATTTTTATATGAAATTATAATTAATTTTTACCTATAAAATCATTTTCACAGGTAACAGACCTATTCGAGGCAAAGTATGAAAGCTGTGTAGCAAAGATGAAGAACCTTTTTAGAAACGTAAAGGACTTTGCGTTCACCTGTGACGGTGTAACAATAACAAATTCTACTCGATCCTATCACACCGTGACTGCCCATTTCATCAACAATAACAGCCTACAGTCAGTTTGCTTACAAGCAGTTAGAATGACACAGGTAAATGTTTCTAAAATTGTCTGCCATGTTTGTCCTTGTGTTGTGTTTTGCCATGTGTTCTGTATTGTTAGGGACATTTCTTGTGCTCTGTTTTACCATATTGTCTATGCGTTAATTGTCTATTTGTCAACTATTTCTTAAGAAAATGTTGTCTTAAGAAAATGTTGTCTAATTGAAATATTATCTTTAATTTAATGCAGTCACATACTAGCGAATATATTTGGCTCGCTAAAGAGTGTTTGCGATGATTTTGAAATTGATCAGTCGAAGTGGCGAACACTAACAACAGATAACGCCAATAACATGAGGGCAGGTTCAAATTTGTTTTTAGGAAAAGGCAAACACATCGGATGTTTTGCACATACTATACATTTAATAGTTGATGATGTGGTCAAAGAAATTGCTTCTTTTTGCAACGTGCTGGACAAAGTAAAAAAAATTGTAACGCATTTCAAACGCAGCTCAGCAGCGATGGACATGTTGCGCAAATTACAGGCCGATGAAGGGATAGCAGAAGGACGAATTCGTACACTCGTGCAAAGTGTCGACACGAGGTGGAATTCGTGCCTTGACATGCTTGTTTCATTTTTAAACCTTTCGAATAAAGTAGCAATAGTGCTAATTAATCGTTCTACGTCTGTGAAGGGATTGCCGGACATGCTGACATCTAACGAAATTCACATATGCCAAGATTTTTGTAATCTTCTAACGCCGTTAAAGGATGCGACCGAAAAAATAAGCGGGGAAAATTACGTTACCGTAAGCATGATAATTCCGCTTATATCACTATTGCTTGATAAAATTCGAAACTTAACAGTAGAATCGGCTGAAGGAATACTCACAAAAACAGCTCTTGTAAAAGAATCAGAAAAGCTGTTTGAACCATAACTTAAGCAAAAAGTGTACAAACATTAATCATTAACATGAAAAATAAAATATGTCACTTTAACTATATATCTTTACTAAATTACACTTTAATTTATTTAATACAGGACTCACGATTACTTACCAATGAAAACCTATCTGATGTTGGAGAAATGGATTACAATAAGATGGGATTCATTGAGGCGCACAACAGATCGGTTGCAACGCGGCCAATTGTGGAAGTGCATGAAAATCAAGAACTAAAATTATTTTTAGGCCTTCCATTCACGTCGTGGGAGAGCGATCCCCCTGGATCGCACAATCCGAAACATTGCCAGGGCTTTCCAAATTAGCACTGGGGTATCTATTAACGCCAGGTAGTTCTGTGCCGTCGGAGAGGCTGGCCTCCGCCATCAAATGCGTTGTGTGTGACACGAGAAGTCGTATGACAGACCTTCACGTAACTCAAAGAGTATTCCTAAAATCTTTAAAAAATTAATTTTGGTGTTATATTGAAATGAGAATGATTTTTATAATAACTTCGGCATAAGAATACTAGGCATAAGAAATATTTAGATGTAAAATGTAAAATGAAGCACTTAATTGAATAATGTTATGATTTTTATAGTTTTGTTTAAGGGGGACATCTGAGTAAGAGGCCAAAAAAAAGCAAATTTTCTGGAATTTTTTTTGGCCAAATCAAAATAGCTAATCGAAAATTTGTAAATGAGGTTTTATTATATTATATTTAAAGTACACAATAAAATTTTTTTAAAAAACGCGCGCGACTTTTCTGCACCTACTGTGCGAAAAAGACGAAAAATCGTGCGAAAGAGATGGAAATTTTTTGTTATTTTTATTGGCATTCTTTCGCATTCTTATTTGCATTGGCAGCGGAGAAATGTTAATGTTATTATGTTAATAACATTAACAGCGGATAACATTTCTAAAAGAAATTGGAAATTAATCCCTAAGATTAAGAGATAAGATTTGTATCTTATTTGTATTGAATATATTCTAATCGAATATAATAATATTAATTTTTTCCTGAATAATCAAAAATGTTAATAAGAAGGAAACAAATTTTGGAAAAATATTCTATTTATTCACATTTACTAAAACTATTCCTAATTCTAAAACTAATTCCTAATTCCTATTCCTATTCCTAAAACTATTCTAAATTTAATCTAATTAAAAGTAGGAGTTAATTTGGAGTAGGAGGATTAAAATTGGGATGGGAATAGGAAGGAGTAGAAGAATTGGGAGGAGGATTGGGGAGAGGATTAATGCGGGGAAGATTTACTAGCCTATCCCACCGGGCCCATAACTCCCTCATCTTGGGCCCGGGCATGTAGGGGACACCCACCGTGCCGCTACATTTCTTATACTTCAAGTGCATTGAAAAGTTAGCATTCTTCTTTGTCAACGGGCAATATGGACAATGGAAGCCCTTAGCCTCATCGAGGCACCCTTGGAAGTGCTGGTTAAGGAGCCTGACACTTCTAAAATCTTTGAAACAATAGGGGCACTGCTTCGGTTTATTCGTCCACACGCCCCCTTGCCCGTCCAAGTGCCACGTCGGGATGTCGGCGTGGCTCAAATTGAAATTAAGCTCCCGAGCGGGCACTTGGACCACCAACGGGCGCGGGGGCGTGTGGAGCGGGGGCGTCGGGCGCGGGGGCGTCGGGAGCGGGGACGTCGGGCGCGGAAGCGGGCCAGAGCGGAGTGGGGGCGTCCTCGGGAGCGGGCCAGAGCGGAGTGGCGTCTTCGCAAGTGGCGACGGCGGGGGCGGGGCTGTCCTTCCGCTCGACGGCGGGGGCGTCTTCGCAAGTGGCGACGGCGGGGGCGGGGGCGGGGCTGTCCTTCCGCTCGACTCGTTGTAAACAGTCATAGTCTGCGAAAAAAAAATTTTAAATTATTTAACAAGAAAGAAAAGCTAACTTCCGGCGGTGCCGAAGTTGATATACCATTGCAGTTAAAACCGGATATATATCGCAAACATCGGATATAGTCGGCCGATCCTTATGAAATTTGGTAGGTTGGATCAACTGACCAAAAATATAATCTGTACCAAGTTCCAGCTTTCTATCTTCAAAAACACAAAAGTGGGTCATTTCCGATCAATCAGTTATATGGCAGATATAGGATATAGTCGGCCGACTATAGTCGAAAGAAGGGTGTGTGAAAAGTTTCAAAACGATAGCGTAGAAAGAGACAGACAGACAGACGGACAGACGGACATGCTCATATCAACTCAGGAGGTGATCCTGATCAAGAATATATATACTTTATAGGGTCGGAGATGTCTCCTTCACTGCGTTGCACACTTTTGGACAAAATTATAATACTTACACCATAATTGAAGAATTGATACATATTGATATTGTTAAAAAATACAACTTTGTATACCACTTTGTATCACCGAAAAAGTTGACACAAAAGTTTGCAAAAGAAAAGTGTGCAAAAGAAATGCAAAAAAGTTTTTTTTTTTGGTTATGTTTTGATTTTCTTTTCATTTGGTAATACTAATTTTATGAAAATGACGGTTATGGGGGTGTAGGTATTTATATAAAAAAAAATATTAAGTATAAAATTATTAACTGTGATACGGAAATTGAAACCATTGGAATCTCTTCAACCAATCTAAAACACAATATTAATGTTTTCAGTGTATATTCTCCCTCTAGTACCAACATAAATGCTAAGTCGTCTATTTGGGGAAACTCTACGCATGATAATAAAGGCCAAATTTTAGAACAGATCCTCATTTCTGCAGGTTTTTCTTGTTTAAATGATGGTTCTCCCACTTACTCTCCCAATCCGTCTTATTTTTCTGCACTTGATTTAACTTTTGCAAACAAAGACAACCTTTCCCTTAAATGGTCTTCCTTTAATTCCAAAATTTCCAACAGTAATCATTTCCCAATAATATTAGAATTGTCTAATTTTACTGCTTCTACAAATAGAAATAAGCTGCTACAGTCTAAAATGTTGGATGATTTTTCCAAAATTAAAATTACTTCTTTGAACAATCTCACAAATACAACAAACAACATTTTAAAAAGAAATACAATTAAAATTAATGAAAATAACAAATATATCCCAAAAAAATACTGGGACGAGAATTGTGAGAGACTTTTTAGACTAAGAAACGCCAGTAGACAAAAATATTACAAGACTAAATTATTATCGGATGCTTTAATTTTTTTTAAATATAACAAAAAACTAAATAACTATTTTTATAAGGTAAGAAAGGAAAGTATGGAAAAATTAGCAGATAATTTGACAAACCCAAAGTCAATGAAAGAAATGTGGCAAACTATCAAATCTTTAAAATTTTATAAGCAAATTAAACCCACTAGCCACTCATTTAAACCATTAAACCATTCATTAAACCCACTCATCTGTATAATCGCATCTTGTTGGATTGGGAAAGAGAATATAACTCTTTTTGTTTAGAAAGAAACAAAGGTTATTGCCTATTATTTCCGTTTGTTAATGCAAAACCTTGGTTCAAAGACAAAAACTGCAATTTAAACCGCCTCGAAGTTAAACAACTAAACAGAATTTTAAGCGGACATGCCTTTGACAAATACACGTTGCACAAATTAAAAGTCTTTGACAATTCTATTTGCGACTGCAACTCCAATTCAATTGAAGATATTTCTCACATACTATTAAAATGCCCAAAATATGGACCAATCCGTTCAAATTTCCCGCCTCTATTAAAATATGACGATATATATCGGTTCTTTGAGCACGAACCAATAACAAATTACGTTACGTTACCAATACGTTGGAAACCCTTTTTTACGTATTTGGCAATCCTTCTTTTGAATTTTGTTTTGATTTCGATTTGGTGCAACTTTTTCTGCAATTTATTTTTTATTTTGAATTTCAAAACAAAAAAATGAATTTTATAAAAACTTTGTCGCTTAACTTGAAATTAAAAGAAAGTTTTATTGAGTGGATGGGAAGGAGGGCAGACACGCTTCGTCAAGGGTTCACCATGATGGAGAGCAATCTCCGCTTTGTCATGGCGGACGAGCCCTTCTTCCTCATCTTCGACGAATTTCACTTGAAGTGCGTAAATGTAAGTATATAATAATATTTTATTTATTTATATTTTATTATATTATATATTTTATACATTTCTTCAGAGGGCTCCAGCGCCCTTAAAAAATTGGAAGATTTTGGCCATCGCCGCTTCCAATTTTGAGGGCCATTTGCAAATTATATATTTACGAACGGTAAGTAATTAACAATATTTATTATGTTTATATACTAATTAAATTATTTTTTATAGGCATCAAGTGGTTTGGAAAAGTTGGGTTCCGCTGCGATTTTGCAGGGGATCCAACTGGCCCTTGGCAGTATAAGGAGGAACCCCGAGCTGTCCTCCAAATTGGCCGGCGCTGTGGCCGACAAGTGCGCCGCCAATTTGGAGGCCATTCACTTCTTACAGCAGAATGGGGTTCCTGTCTTATACAACTTGGAGCATTTTTGTGGTACCATGGCTCGGATGGACCACATCGACCAGTTTGCCACCCACCTGTATGCGGTCGCCAAATTTTCCAGGAGCAATTTTGCACAAATCCTGGGGAATTTCAAAAGGCTGGTTGAGGAGAATGTACCCCCAGCCTTGCATGACCGGTACAACCAGGATGTAAGTTTATCAAAATTAATTTATATGTGTAATTTTTATAATTTTTTTCATTACTTCCAGCGTCTTGCATTGGAGGCCCTTTTTAGGAATTTGTTCACCAAATTCCCAACGAGGACCTTCAGTATAGGACGGGTGAACTCCAACCACCTGGAGAGGGTGGGTGCCAGGCTGGCCGAAAAAGTGCACCAACGTGCCGAGGAGGGTTTTGAGAGAAATCCAGCCCTTACCAATGGTAATGAGGCAGTTGTCTTTATGGCCACTTTGACAACTGTCCTTAGCCAAATCATGCACAATGATTTGAGGAAATCGTAAGTTTTTATACATTTATATTTTATTCCTACATATATTTTACAAAAATGTTTTTCCAGGCGCATTGCACTGTCGGCGAATCCTCTGGAGGTTCAAGAGGAGCCTATGGACGAAGCATGATGTATAATATAGAATAAGTAGTATAGTTTAACATTAGTATTATTTAGTATTAGTAGTAGTAGTATTTACTTTTAGTATATTGGATTAGGCCTCTCGGGGATACCACCTAAAAAAGAAACGCGCCTCATACTCTACCGCTAAGGTGGTGGGGAAAAGAGTAAATTGTCTCGTCAGAGAGCGGAGTATCTCAGAGATACTTCTCTTCTACAAAGTTCAACTTTGTGCTCGCCACACACACTTTTCTGGTATTTCGCACAGACTACCTTAGTCATTCTGCGCTTTGAGGAAGGGCAAACTGAGCAAATCTTTCTTTTCCCTGTTTCTTTTGTGGGAATAACATTTTCAGTCTCTGGGGAGTTCAATATTGAAAGCTCATTACAAATTTCATTTCTTATAATCGTAGATATTGTTGGCATTTCAAGCCTATCACTTAGGTGTTGTTTTATAAGACTAGAATGAAGGTTTTTCCTAGAATTAGATCGTTTCTGAGGCTTATGGCCTAGTTTAAACATATTTTGCGAGTAAATTATATATGCGTTAATGAAAGATATAAATTAAAAATGCCGAAAA